GCCCGAAACGTCAGCCTTCCTGCTCCTCTGATGCTGCTTGGCCTGTTGTGTTCATCCAGCTCTACACCTTGTTATCTCAGATTCTCCAGCATCTGCAGTTCCTACTATCTCTGAAGTGCCTCACCTGTGGTTGTTTCAATAACTTTAATACAGCTATCTTAAATATGGATATATTTGACTATTTTTGTTTGGTGGTTACCATTGATGACAATTCTACCACCCAAATTCCAGCATGGAGCTGTGATGGCACCACAGTTTTGTTGACTATTCAGCAAATAACTCAGCATATTGATTTTACTTGAAAGAAGATTTGATCCAATTTGATCAGGTCATTTTAAATTAGTGCTTAAATTGCTCAGTTTTGGAAGGTAAGTATTACTAAATGCCCCATCGCCAAACCTCGGTCACATCTTGGTCATGTGCACTTTGAAGTCTTCATTTCAGCTTTAAATCATTAAGTCATTAATCCCAACAACTAAATAAATAATTTAAATTGTTTTGGCGTTGTGGTGGTTTGGTGAGCGATACCTAAGAGAATGAAAATTCTTGGGGCATGGTTTGTATTTGTTTATTTCGAGGAGTTAATTAGAGTTTTCTTCTTTAAGGTTAGGCCACATCAAAAAAATTTGAGTGTCTCTATGAAGTTCATGTCATCCATCATGTGAAGTTCATATTGTTATCTGAAAGTTATCTTTGTTGATTCAATCTAAAGTTATTGCCTCCCTTTTGTGAAATGATTGTTGAAGCCAAATGTTTAAGTTGTTTCATATTTCAACATATTTGTTCTTTTGGATATAGCATTGGCTCATTGTCTTCTGTTCAAGTTTACTTACAGTTAGATTAATGCTTTACAGATGATTATTTTTTGCGGTCAAACCTACTTGTTATATTGCAGGTTAATATAGCACAAAGATATGAAGCTGCCTTGTGTTGTGAGGATAACGTGTTGTATCACTGACTGAGTACCACAAAGTGACAAAGGAAATGGTATATTTACAGTAGGATTGCATGTAACTCAGCTGGCCTGTCTGACTGTTCCCTCTTCAGCTTCATTTTCTTTTCCTTTATTGCCTCCAGACTCTTGGCTCACAAAGTGAAATCAGTCCTGAATAAGTTGATTATTTCAGTCACTGTACTTCAGCCAGGATTTCATTGGCTGTTGCAATAAAGCCAATTGGCATATGTGAGCTTCATAAAATGGAAAAAAAAATTGGCATGTTACATGCATTTCAAATACAGTACTGAAACATGGTCATTGCAAAATTTGATGTTGCCATAATGGTTAGGTATTTTGTCACAGTCATATGAATTCAAATCAAACTTTTTATTTTCACTTCCTCACGTAAGGCTACATGGTGTGTAAGGAAGTAACCTCTTAACACCAACTGAAGAAACTAGCACGTTTTGCTGACTGTGGGTTCAGGTGTCGGAATTCCTTGTTATTCAAAATCAATATTCAGTGGGAGGTGGAGTATGTGAAATTAGGATGACCATCTCAAGGTAGAAATTGGAAGCAGCCACAGGCAAATGGCAAGTTGGACTGTTGAAAAGGCCCATATCAGTTCAGTGGGCACCTGTTTTGCAAAATAATAGACCTTCTAGTCCTCCCTCTTTTTCCCCTATCACCTCCTATCCACTTGCCATGCCCCACCTACCCCCCACATGGCACCTTATAAGACACACGCCATGCCCCACCTACCTGCCTATGGCACCTTTTAAGGCAGTGCCACATCATACTAAGTCAAGTTTCCACACAACCCATGCCACGTTAATCCCAATGCATGTCTGTCCATAACTCCCACTGCCATCTGTTGCCTTTATACCCTCCATTCTAATGCATCTTTTATTCACTATGGGAAGACATAAGGACTCGTGTTCAGACAAAATAAAGGCCGAAATATCTGTTACCGCTTTTAAAGCAATAAAGCAAACTCGCGCTCACTTATTTAAAAAAAAACATAGTGTTAAAAACCCCATACCTAAGACTGCTAATATACAATGTTTATGGGCCCTTACGACAAGGTTAACAAACAGTTATTGTAAATACTGGAACAGATTCTTTTCAATTCTCACTGAAACAGGCTGATTTAAAAAAAATGTAATGCCATGGATGGAAATAACTTCACAGATTGACAGTTATACATATGTCACCTGCCCTTCAACCCTTTATATATCCTCCACAGACTGGTTACTCCCACACTGGGATAGGCCCTTGCTGCAATGAAAATTCGACACTGACTTCAAATGGTCCCACTGAGTTTGAATTTACTCTTTCAAGAGTCATGTTCTGTACCCTTTCCCCTATCATTTTGTTTCAGGATAAACCCTCTTTCATACTTATTGAAGCCTGAACATTATTTCAAAGACGTGTCTCTTCATTGTTTCGTCTGTAGTTTTTGTTTATTTAAAGGTTCCGACTCTTGTTTTCACATTTTATGGTGCGTCAAGCATCATTCCCATTGACTAAAATCCAAAAATCTTGCATCTGAACTGCTACAATATGAAGCAAGTTGTCAAATGTGTAGCCACATTTTAGATTAATGTATCAGTTTAATATGATCTATTTCATAGGCAGCATATTGTTTTATTAATGTGTCATGCTTTGTGTTGAGTCCAAAGGATGCTTCACAAGTTGGCAGTTCCAACTGTACAATTAACTGGGAAATGTTCTGGCCTTTGTCTTATCACTGACAGAAACCTGAGGACTACTGCTGCAGAAGTTGTTGAACTTTAGAATTTGGTTCCAAATATTGTAGGACAAGCACGCATGCAAAAGATGCATTCTGAGAGATGAGTTTGGGGTTGATGGAGAACTATTACATGTCTTGAGATGCAATGACTATTGTCTTACATTGACATCTATCAAGGTGTTGAAACTTATAATTAATTAGGAATTGACTTTAATGGTAGTTGAATATGAAACTTCTGCCAGCAAGATGTGCTAGTTATAATCCCAGTGTATACTGTTCAGTTATTAATTACTTCATGTCAAATATCATGAACGCTGTTGTGGCAACAGTAACATTTCTTTCCTGAGAGCAAGGCCCTTCTAAGTTTTATAATCTGCTTCTTTCAGAAATGGAATCTCATTCTCTGATAAAAAAGATCTAATGGTGGTAAAGAAGGAGCCTCTTCTCTTTGTCAAACGAGCATGCCATCCTCAAGTTAACAGGACAGAATCACTTAGGTAAGTAGATAGCAACTATTATACGGAAAGCAATAAAAGATCATTATCCCTTTAAACTGTGCTTAAATTGTTACCTTTGTGGGTCATTCTTTTGGAAAAAATAAATCAGCGTGCAGTGTTTATTTCATAGCTGCAAATTATGCTTCGTAATAAAAGGAGTCTGTTAGCATTATTTAACTTGCACTTGGACTGTACTGTAGCATTTTAAGGATCTCTTGGAAGAAGATGTGCAAATAAGGAGATCTAGTATCAAGTATATCGAACTGTTTATTCCTCAAAAAGTGAATTTTTTAAAATGAAGCTGTGTACTTCATGTTTGATTACACATGAAGATTTTTGTGGACTGGATAGTATCAAATCATAGAGATCTATAACACAGAAAAAGTTCCAGCATACTCTTCTTGCTCTTAAACAGCATGCCTCGACTAACAAAGGCAAGTATCCCATTTGCCTTCAAAACCAATTTATCTATTTGTCCTGCTACCTTACGGGATCAGTGGATATGCAATGGATAAGGTCCCTCTGATCCTCAGTGCTTCCCAGGGTTTTACTATTCATCATGTATTCCCTTGCCTTGTTGTGTTGTCCACATGCATCACCACATTCTTATCCAGATTGAATTCCATTAGCCACCGATCTGCCCATCTGACCAGCTCCTCTACATCCTCATGTAATATAAGGCTAAGCTCACTCTTTACCTCCCCTCACTAATTTTCGTATCATCCACAAACTTACTGATCAACCCTCCTACATTGAAGTCTAAATTATTTAAATATACCATAAACAGTAAGGCCCCTGACACTGCTCCTGTGAAACCCTACTGGACACAGGCTTCCAGTCACAAAAACACCCCTTGATCATTGCCCTTTTCTTCCTGCCAGTCAGCCAATTCTGGAACCAATTAGCTTGGCTTTATTAGCCAAGGCAAGTGTTTAAGAGCAGAAAGGTTACGCTGGAACTGTATAAAATGTTGGTTAGGCCACGGCTAGAGTATTTTGTGCAGTTCTGATATCTACATTATAAGAAGATGTGACTGCACTTGAGAGAGTGCAGAGGAAGTTTCCTTGGATCCTGTAGGCTCTTGCCACCTCTATCAGTCTCCCATGCGGGACCTTATCAGAAGCCTTGCTGTAGTCCCAAGTAGACTATGTCAAATGCATTGCCTTCATCTTAACATCTGGCCTCTTTGAAAAATTTAATTAAGTTGGTCAGACATGATCTTCTCTTCAACAAACCTTTAATCAAGCTGCTCTTGATTAATCCATGCCTCTCCCAAGTACAGATTATTTCTATCCCTCAGAATTGCTTCTGGTAGTTTCCCCAATGGTGAGGTTAGATTGACTGGCCTGTAGTTTCCTGGTTTATCACTTGCTCCCTTCTTGAATAATGGTACCACATGGCTGTCTTCCAGTTCTTGGTCACCTGTGGCCAGAGAGGAATTGAAAATTATTGTCAGCACCCCTATTATTTCCTCTTTTTAAGGTGAATTAGAGCTGTGAAGGGTGTCATGTGATCAGCTTATAATTCTGCCTGACAACAAACCTGGATTTCTTGGTTGTTGTTGGAACAAAATGGACCCAAGTCAAGAAATGTTCAGTAAAGTGCAAAATATTCACAACACTGGTTAGGTGGCAAGAGCATCTGTGTTGATTGTGGGTAGAGTGGTAATCTCCATGTTTTGCAGGGAGATGTTAGGAATGTCAGGTTTTATCAAGATTTATATTTCAAACTAGCTATTTACTATTAAACAAGAACAAAATTGGGGATCTAGAGGACAACTAATTATTAATTCTATCCGGATATGAGACCAATCTTGTTCATGTTTCCATGGAGAACAGTTTTAAGAAAGGAAGAGCCCTAGGATTGGAAGTTACCATCTGGGAATGGAAAACTCAAAAAAGGCATTGGGAATGGTGAACAGCTTTGGACTGGCTCCGGCGGAATAAAGTATCCACGTAGAGACAATGTAAAGATTTGGTGTGGTATAGAATTTCTGCTGTGTTAAAATTTTTGTCACATTGGAAAAGCTTTCTGTAGTTTAAAGTATAAGTTGCCAACTAACTTGTGTTCAGTCAACAGCCTTTTCGTTTGTTTTTTACAGTAAAATAAAATTATACCTTGTTATCTCTAGAAATTAAAATTTATTGGATTCTACAGGATTTCAACAAGTAGACAAAGGACATGACTTTCCTTGCAAATACCTGGATTTGATTCCAGACTACATGATTAAGTTATATTTTCAAATTTATAAGGACCTAATTAATCATTTTTTGGGAATGTCATATTATTCTGATGTGTTTAGAGCAGTGTCAAAAGCCTTTTACGGCTGTGGCCATTGTACCTGTCTTGGCGACGCTTAACGCTAAGTTTTGAAAAAATACAAAACAGGCCAATTTCATGCTATGGAAGAACCACACATGAAACAAATCACTCTTTCTCCCTTGTGTTGAGCAAGCTGACTTAAGCAGTTCAATTGAGCTGGCCATTCCTTTAGTTTTACTATCAATTGTTGGCAGGAATGCATGGGTGAATCCAACTTAGCCCACCCACACAGCAAATTGATTTGACAAAGCATACAATTGCTGTCCCCTTTACAAATATAATATTTTAATAAAACATGGTTGATATTAAAAACATGGAGTCTTGAGCTAGTTCACAGAATAATGAAACTAAATGCATAGGAAGTAGCTATTTGGCTGGCTCATCACGCCTGTACAATGCTGTTACGCTGGCCGGTTGCATTTTTATAATTCTTCTTTTCTCCCCTCCTTTCAGCAGCAGTGACTCATTTTACTGCAGAGCTGCCTTGGCTCTCAGTTGAATCTTAAAATAATATAGTCTATAGCGCAGTTTAGCTATTTATTTCAGTTTTAATATCTTTAATGGAATTCATATACAGGTAACTGCAAATGAGTGTTTGAAGGGTAATTAAGCAGGCTACCTGTATGCAGCAACACTTAGCCCAAGATAACATTAACTCTGTGGAACTTGTTCCCTGTGAATCAAGCCATAGTTACTGGACTTAGTGTAGAGATTCATTTTCGTTACATGATAAATATTTGAAGATATTTTTAATGGCAAGCCATATGTGAACAGAGCTAATCTATTCATTGCCAAGGAGAATTGTATATCTAGGTGCTATTATGTATTAATAGTGTTTTACCGTTGAGGGTGTTAAATATCTAGGCACATAGAATTCATGTGTAATAATCTGTTTAAAAGAAATTAGCTGAATGAAGATTCCTACATCTGATTTTAGGTTATTGAATTTGTAGTTGGATTTATTGAATGAAATAAAGATAATCCATTTTAACAATATTTGATTTCAACAGCTCCAGATTGATAGTCATAACTTAGGAAAATCAAAGACAGTGCTGTGATAATTCATTCCTCATAAATATTTTCTCCATTATCTTGGTGTAGGCTAGCAGATGAACTCCGTGGGTGGGTACATCGACATGAAGTAGTCAGAGTTAAATTGAGAAAAGGATCTAAAATGCTTCATAGAATACGAACTGTGACGGTGGGTACTTAACATTTAATATATGTTTATAAAAGTTAAATTGAAAAATTCTGTTTGTCAATATTTATAAATTGAAAAACAGGTAAATATTCCAGGAGTTATAAATATACATTGAATTTACTACCACTGAAATCATTGCCTCTTGTTTCTAAACTAAAGTAGGCGTGGTTGAGGTTAGTGTGCAGGTTGGAAGATGTCTAGAATTGTGCGAGCAACGTGATTCAGGAGAGCTATGATGTCCCAGTAATTCTTATATTTCATGTATTCCAGCAAAGAAAAGATTTGATTTGTCATTTGAATCTGATGTAGCATGGAGTACAAGAGCCCTCTTTCATGTTTTGGCCCTTTCGTGCCCCATTAGCTGAAGTTACTTTTGCTACTGCAATCTAGCTAATGTTGGTCTTTCCTCCTTATGATCTTCTTTTTAATCTTCATTGGCAATGATGGCTAGCTACATTTCATAAAACTAGCCCAGGATAATGAACAGAAAGCCTATATGTGATTTCCTTTGAACGCTACATCTCTATTGTGCTTAATGGGGGAACTGTAATCCATCTTGGATAGGCCACATTGTGCCACAATGGTAGACATTAGCAAAGATTGGTTGACATGCTAATCAAAATTCAACAGGAAGAAAAGTTAGCAAAGGTATCATTCTGTAGTTATTCTTGTATTTTACAATGATTATCTTCAGTTTTCCATTTGGGAAGTAATTGGTACTCTGAAAATCTCCAGTATTTGAGCCTTTGTATAATTGTAACTGGGTCCAAGAGACCAACAGTAATTTTTGTTTTATTTTTATTTTTTGTGTTTTTAAAGACTCATGATTAAAAAATGTGAACATTTTAACGCATTTAATGTTTTAGTGCCAGTTGACATCAAGTTGATACAGCTACAGAATATTAGTATTTGATCATTACATAATAATTTTCAGTCAACACTTGTCATGTTTAATTGAATCCAAGACTCAGCAAAAAGATTTAAGATGTAATCAATAAACCAAATCACAAAATCTGCCTTGTCATGCGCTCGAGGAATTGTTTTCGTCAGTGCTGGTCTCGGAATTTGACCTCAAGATAGCCATTGCTATCTTCATGATCTTTATGTATACTCTGATAGCGCCAAATTGTTAGTTTTCCCAGGCAGAGAAAATTTCCAACTAAAGAGTTCTGTACTATCTCAAACATTATTTGTCAACAGTCTTTCTAACAGTAATGCAACAGAATTGACTATATAATTTGCTTTAATCATGATTGAAACTGCTAATTAAATTGATTACCATCACCAATTCCAAGAAATAACACATTTTCTATTTCTAATTTTGTACTATTTCAAGTCAGCCATTCCTTAAACCATTCAGAATACTACTTAGATCCCTAATTCCTCTGATGGGATCCATTGCTTAACCGAAGTAATTTTGTCAAACGTTATAGTCTACTGCCAATATTGTATCTTATGTTATTAATGAGAAGTATGAAAAGAATGGGATAGATCTCATTGACTTGTTTGAGAGGGCACCTCATTACCACCTACTCGTAGGCAATAGGGATGAGCAATGAATGCTGACCTTTCCAGTAATGACCACATCCCCTGAAAGAATAAATAACATTCCATTCATCATTGCTGACGGCAAACTCTAGCTCCAATTTTTGATATGTCTGGTCCCTTGGCAAGTTGGTTTTCGTGCAGGCAGCTCATTTGCCTTGATGAAGCTTCAAAATTACATTCACCTAAAATGCTAAATTACCATAATACACTGAAGATGCTACTTTATAGGCCTGCTACAATGCACAGCATAGCAACTGACTATGATAATTTGGCAATAGCAAGTAATCATGACACTACAGTTTTCATTATATTTGTGGCATTTTGAAGACATAAGAAATGTTAACAGACAGAGCTCATGCTGTTGTGCTCAAGTATTCCTCTACATGAGCTGGTAGAAGGGAGTAAGCAACAGTAAAAAACTGAATTTTGCTGTATAAAATTGTGGCTTAAAATGCCGTTCAATTTTAGCTTCAAACAGCTTTGCCGGTTTTGCTATCATCATACCTGTTTGGCAGTTCTGTTTATTTTATTCTGCCAAAGCAAAATAACATTGCTAGAACTGTACACTTGGTAAAAATATGCGTTTACCCACATACACAAATCATTCAGTGTAATAAAATTTAAGAAAATAGAGAACACCTGTTTGCAGCAAATGTCATGGATCAAAGGCCTTTCTGATGAGTTCATGGTTTTGTGGTCAGAATCAGTTTGTTTTTCCTGCAGCTCGAGATTGGAAAGTTGGCAATAAATATTCAAACTGCTGTGCCTTTTCGAACACACCAACAACCGCAAACTTGACATTTTGGGTGGTATAGTAAAGTACCTTGTGTTGAATACAGCCTGACCAAACAAAAAAAAATCACTGTTTAATTGATGTGGAGAGTTTGTTCTAATGTCTTGTCACGATGAATACCTGTTGCACTGCTGCACTTTCCAAGATTGGTTGCTCATTGCATCACACGGAGTTACTGGAATTTACTATATTGTTTGCCCATTGCTCCTTACACTGCATGGCTTATGTTTCCTCTGATCATGGCTCATTGCTATGCACTCTACACCTCTACAGTTTGTGTTGCACATGCCCATCATCCCCTGTTCACTATGTTGTTTGTGTAGTGCTCTGCAGACTGTCCAGGGACACTTTATTACTGGATTTGCATATCTCGCATCTCCTTCCACCTGGGCAGCCAGTTGCGGCAGTGATGGACTGTCTTCAGATTACTCAATTCTGCCTCCTGGTGAGGATTTTTAATCCTCCTCTTTTGGCACTTAGGCCTCCTCTATCCAAGATTGAAATCAACAACTTTGGACTTAGTTGTCAAGCATGATGGTAAATGATCTAACATGTATTGGCTCCTTTACCTGGTGACAGTTTATCTTCACGTTAGGAAGATGATTAAACTCCTCATGTAGCCACATGAATAAGCTGCATCACATTTTAAAGCGTTAACAGTGGTATGCTTTTTCGTATTGGCATGCAAGAGAGTCTCAGAGAGACAGGGAATAGTATTTCCACTTGAACAGAATATAACTAATTATTTGGGTGTACTTTGGGGACTCGTTATGATATACACCCATATGTATTTTTTGTTTCTCTCCTAGCACCCCTCATACCCAAATTCATCTTGTTGATAAGTTCCTCTTGTACTGCCTGGACACTATTTCTATGTAACTGCTGATGACTCAACCTACTTAGATGCTGGAAATATGAAAAAAAACACAAAATTCTGGGAATACTCATCAGATCACATAGCATCTCTGGAGAGAAATGAAGTTAATGTTCAAGTCATTTATAACCCTTCATCAGTCTGAAATGTTAACTGTCTTTTCACAGATGGTGCCTGATCTTCTGACTATTTTCAGCATTTTTTGCTTCATGCCTCTTCCTGGCACATGAAAAGTGCCCAGTCCAGATACTTGTTTGGTCTTGCTCAGGCTAAGAGTGCACATAATGCAAAATCAGTTAGGAATTTAGTGGATAGGAGAACTAAATCTGAAAGCAAACTGCATGTTCAAATTCTTTTCCTAAGACTGTCAGTTTTCAGCAAGCTTCATCAATTAGATTTGATGAACTCTGCTTCGATGTGTTTGTGCAGTAAGAACAATAAAACTTAGAAGTCTCAATGCATGAACTAAAACACATTTGTTTATGAAGAAAACTGTGAAGCTGTTCCAACGAAGAATGATTTTTTTTCTCATTGCATTTAACATAACTGAGACTGAATGTAAAAGACAGAAATAGAAATACAAAATGCAAACTCCCCATCTGCCTCCCTTTAAAATTGTTATTATCATGTCTTGCTACTGCTTGTGAACAACAGAGGTAATTTATTATGTATACATCTGTTTTAGGACCTTGTAGTGTAATGTCTGTTACTTTGTTTGTTTATGAATTTCAATTTCATAATGTTTCCCCAAAACACAAATTTGATGCTATTATTTGCAAATTCAAAGAAAAGTTGGTGCCAAAATCTCAGTCATGACCCAGACTTAGTCATGCCTGTTATCTGAATATTAAAAGATTACCAAATGGAAAAACTGCATCTGAGCTTTGCACACATCAAGGAGTTTTCTTTAAACTGTCAGGTATTATCTTCAATGTGCTAACATTGGTGTACAGTTATTCTTAACAACTGACCTTAAGAGGCTGATGTCAGTAACTGAAAATTACACTTGCCATCTCTTGTTCCTAACCTTGAAAATGGACAGTGGGGGCCAGGGATAGAAAAAGTATACTCAAGATGTTTCAATTTATAAAGCAGTTAAAATTATCGTAGAATTATAGAATCCCTACAGTGCGGAAAAGGGCCATTCGGCTAATTGGGTGTGCACCATCCCACTCAGAACTAGCCCCCAAACTTATCCCCGTAACCCTCCATTTACCCTGGCTACTCCGCCTAGGCTGCACTTCCCTGGACACTTTGGGCAATTTAGCATGGCCAATCCACCTAACCTGCACATCTTTGAACTCTGGGAGGAAACCAGAGCAAACCCACACAGACATGAGGAGAATGTGAAAACACTACACAGACCGTTGCCCAAGGCTGGAATTGAACCCGTGATCCCGGCATTGTAAAGCAGCAGTGCTAACCACTAAGCTACCATGCTGCCCTTGTCAAAGGGAATTGGGCCACTGTAAATCACAATATGTAAGTTGATTGTTGAAGCTTCGAAATCCTCACAAAAACAGGAGTCACAGCAGGACACTTGAATAAGAGCAAGCTAATCAGGCAGAGACAGCCTGTTGTTCTGAAAGGGAAATTGTGTTGGGCCAGTCTATTGATGTTCTTTAAAAAAGTAACATAGCATGCGGTGGATAAATGGGAATTGGTGGATGTTTTGTACTTGGATTTCCAGAAGACATTTGATAAGGTGCCACATCAAACACTATTGCAGAAAACAGAAGGCGACAACAAAAAGCATTGATATATTTAGTGAGTGAGCAAATGGAATATAATTTGGAAAAATGTGACACTGTCCATTTTGGCAAGGAGAATAAAAATGAAGCATATGATTTAAATAATTAGAGATTGCAGAGGGATATGGATGTCCTTGTGCATGGATCATGGAAGGTTAGTATGCAGGTGCAGGAAGTAATTAGGAAAGCTAAGAAAATGTTCTTATTTATTGTGAGGGGAATCGAATACAGAAGTAGGAATGTTGTGCTTAAGTTCTAGAGGTCTTATGAGTTAAACGCAAATGCCACAATTAATTTGTTCGCTTGAGACTTTAACCAATAAGACAATAGGAGTCAATCTAGTGCAGTAATTTAGGAATCTTAAATAACACCTCATAAAGTAAGGCAATAACTTTATGATCTTACTACAGCTCTTGCTTTCCATTTCAGCTGAGGGAGCAGGTTGACACTTGGTTTTTTGGTCTTTTTCCAAAGCCGAGAGGGCCTTCTCCTTCCAGATGGAAGCAAGATAACTTCAAATGTCTTAAGTATCTTGGTCACCAACAGCTGTGCTTATTAACTCTCAGCATGATCAATTATATCATTAAATTCTGATTGGCTTAAGTTGAGTAAGACTTATTGCTAATTGGTTTAAGGGATCATAAGAAATAGGAATAGGCTGGGCCATTCAGCCCCTCAAGCCTCCTTCACCATTCAGTAGGGTGACCTGACATTCCTCAGGTTCCCCATAACACTTGATTTCCCCTACTAATCAATAATCTATCTGTCTCAGCTTTATCTGTCTGTTCTTTCTAACTTTTCCTTCTATAACTAACTTCTCACATTAATTTTAAAAATTAATCAGAAAAGACTGGGATTCTGTATAATGTTCACATTTCAGTCCACTGACCCACCCTCATCCCCGGGCTGGGGAATCAACCTTGGGGACAGCAGGAATCGGCATAGATCTGGATTGGCTGCTGATCAGTCACCCCACACTGCAGAAAGCCAACCAAAGCTAAGGGGGAGTTAACCCTATGGCCCCCCCCAACAGCTGGTAAGAAAAGTTGACAACCTCTGGAGTAAAAACGAGGGGCTGGAATTTGTAAAGCCAAACCCTGGGTGCTTCGTCGATGGCTAGAACTTGAGCAGTGAGGCCCGAGAAAGGTTTGTTCCTGGAGAGGAGATACACCGTGAGTGCAAGCTTGTTAGGGAACCACGGAGACACTGCTTGAAGCAAAGAACAGATAACTAAGACTGGAGCAGTAAAGGTCGAACTGGAAAACCGTTTACGGTGAGGAGCTGTGTTGTGAGTGACCGACTGATACTGAGAGAAGACTGCCCAGAAGAAGGAACCAAACCAACTCAGTAACTCTTTCAAATGCTTAAATTCTTTCATCACCAAACTAACGTAGAGCTGTTCAGAGGGGTTTGGCACATTTGGAGGTCAGAATTGCTAGCCTGAGATTCAGATACTCTGAGCCCAAACATGTGGCCTACCACCTTTCCCTCTTTCTATTTTTAACCCAATACCTAACACCCACTCCTAACCTTTTGTCTTGTCTGCCAGGTTTAAGCACTAGTTTGGGGGAAAAGGGTGTTTTAGAGTAATAATCTGGGTAGTTAGTGGTTTTAAGAGTTTGTACCATTGCCAGTCCTAGAATTTTGTAAGGTACTTTTTTTTTAGTAATAAATAATTATTCCTGTTTTACATAAAGCAAGCAGTGTCAGAAGTCTTTGTGATAAGTATAGTTCAGGGGCAGTAAATTCAGAGACGTCAATTGCGAGGAATTATTGTGATTAAATTCACAAAGCTTTCTTCACATGTAATGGGCTACAGTTCTCCACTTTGTGTTTGTCCATATGGTTAATTCAGTGTCTGTGGCAATATATACAAGGATAATTTATATGTTAGTGCATTTGCAGTCCCTTTAAACCTCAATGAGGACCCCTTCAAGCTATCAAAGACCTCACTCAACCATTTTACAATCCCATTGTCCCCCTTTGCAGACCCCTTCTTTCTTGTTTGCAGCTTTTCCTGCCCAGCATCGCCAACACCTCCACTTCTCCTCCCTTGCTTCTTAAAGTTGTGGTCCTAAATCCATGTAGCCCTGCCTCTGGCACTGCATCATATGCTCCACGCATGTGCCTGCCAATTTAGGCTTTCAGCTGGGACTAGAGTCCTCTCTCTGGCCACCTACAGCCTGATCAGTGAAACTGTTGGTCTCACCCATCTATTCACTTGCTTGTATTCATTGTTGCATAACCTGACTTCGAAACTCATTGAAGATAAATATTGAAGTTTCGGGGTTATTGGTTTGGTTGATGAATAATAATTTTGTTTATGCAATAGACGTTTAAGCTGAAGTATTTTAATTCATTTTCTCTTTCAATCTGTCCCCGGTAGAAATGTTTATACTGAGACAGGATTGGTGATTGGATGGGTGATGTCTGACTTTGGGTCTCCATTACTTCTGTAATGTTATTTTCACTTTTGTAAATAGTTTTTAATATATTTATTACCATTTCTTTACAGAAATCTACTGATAAGAAGACTGATGTAGCTCAATATGTTAAAGGGGTGTACACAGACATTGATAAGAAGTAAGTTGTTTTATGACTAGAATTCTCTGTTAAGTTGCTGCAGGGCAGTTTTGAGTTGGAGGTGGCTCAGTGCATTGGATAAAAACATTTTAAACTCGCTACGATGAAAGCAATATTGGGGGGATGCTTGAGATCTGAAATAAAAACCATGTTCTGGAAAAGCTCAGCAGTTGTGGCAGCATCTGGAGAGATAAACAGAGATAGGAGTTCGAATCAAAGTCATATTTCTGAGATTTTCCAGCACTTGTATGTTTTTATTTCCGATCTCCCTTTCTCTTCCACTTTTGTCCCCTCAACTTTTAGGGAACATCAAACAAAGATTGGAAACAGAGTAACATAAAGTGGCATGGTAGAGAACAGAGCTTTGTGATTGCATGAGCAGAGGTCAAGAAAATCCTGCTGGACCGTTAGTTTTCCTCCTGTGCAGTAAGGTGCTGTGTTTCTGATAGTCTCCCCAAAGATGATGATTTGAGTTTATATACATTGCTACAATTTGTTGTTGATTGCAAAAGTCAACTTTCATAAGTGTACCTGCACTTCCTATAATGTTGTGTACAATTGCATTGGCTCAGGGCTAAAACGTTTATTGCTCATACCAAATACTGTAACAAGGCAAAAGTATTCCATGGATTGATGTGCATACATGTTGGGAAATGCCTTAATGGTTTCTCTTTATCTTTCTTAAAATTTGGCTTGTGGACAATCTGTTTATATATCTACCTGCAGTTCTTGACAAGCATTATCCACAGTTATGGAGACCAGTTGGGAGAGCGCCTAGCTTTCGAGCAGAAACCTAGACGTACTACTATTCTTTTTTTCCCGACTCCACTGGGTACAGCTGTATCTTGGATAAGTAACCATATGACATCAACTTTTCCTCATTTATAGCTGTGATGTGAATTCTAAGGGGTTTGGATACTTGTTGGCTTAGCAGCCCAGAGATCTTATATTCAAATTCCAAAGTGGTATTTCTTGAAGAGTCAGCAGAGCTTTCTGAGCTGAATAGCTTTTTGCTCTATAAACTTGTATGCTGTAAATTTGAGTAGCGTGACATCGATGGAGAATTAGTAATTGTCTTTTTCGGAGCCTGACATTCCTTAAGTATTACCCTTGGATTGAGTTCAGCCTCTGGTTTGCCTTGAACCTTGATCATTAATATGAAAGCTCTCCTAGTTCCACAGTTGATTTTTTAAAAAAAAGTTATGAGGCCTGCATTTGTACTTAATTAGCTGTTATTGTTGAGAGAGAAGTTTTATTCTCCGTTCCAGTGGGATGAAACTCTTGAGCAGTAGGCATTCTTTCATGGCCATAGTGCTCACCAATACTTGGATTTTATTCCTGAAACTGTTGCCTCATTGAACTTCTCTTTGATTTAGGTCTATAAATAAGTATTTACCCCTCAAATCTGTGTACACATGTCCTAATGGAATCCGTTCATTCTGGCTTAGGTCACATCACCTTCACAGTGTTGTTTTAAGTTGAAATTGGTAACAAACCATGGAGTTTCATTGCCTTTTATGCCTGTAAATATTTTGGGCTGACGTTATGGTGTCAGTTGCATGACTCAAGCATGCGTATCCCATTGTGGTACTGTATGGTATCACCCTAACATAATTTTAATATGCCTGTCCTTATACTGCATGACATCTCAGTGAATGGCTTGTCCATTCACTGCCTCTCTAAGTTGCACCTCTAAATAACACAGTACGCATTGGAGTAAACTTCCATATAGTCATGAGCAGCATGCAGCTCCAACCCTCACTGCTCCGAGGCCATACGTCTTTAAAGGAGATCATTTATCCCATCATCTACACAGAGTCATACAGTCATACAGCATGGAAACAGACTCTTCAGTCCAACCAGTCCATGCCAACCATAATTCCAAACGAAACTAGTCCCACATACCTGCGCTTGGCCCATATCTCTCCAAACATTCCTTATTCATGTATTTATCTAAGTGTCTTTTAAAGATTATAACTGTACCCACATCCACCAGTTCCGCTGGAAGTTCATTCCACATGTGAACCACTCTGTGTTTTAAGAAAAAAATTCCCCTCTGTCCTTTTAAATATTTCTCCTCTCATCTTAAAAGTATTCCCCCTAGTCTTGAAATCCCCCAACCTAGGGAAAAGACATCTGCCATCCACCTTATCTATCCCTCTCATGATTTTATAAATCTCTATAAGGTCACCCCTCAACCTCCTACACTCCAGTGAAAGAAGTCCCAGCCTATCCAGCCTCTCCTTATAACTCAAACGTTCCATTCTTGGCTGCGTCCTGGTAAATTTCTTCAAAACCTAACCAAGCTTAGTAATATCCTTCCTGTTAACAGGTAGACCAGAACTGGATGCATGCCAGTACTTTATGGAGAAATCCATTTAGCCTATTTTATTTTTCCTGCTCTATCCTCGAAGCCATACAAGTTCATTACCAACAAATGCCCATTCAATTTTCTTTTGAAATTATTGATTCACTTCCTCCACCTTGGTGTGCAGTGAGTTGCCTATCATTATCACTCTATTATCACTAACTGTGCAGTCTGCATTTGTGACATTGCCATTTATGACCCAGAATTACATGCAATTGAAGCAAATTTGAATTAATTATTTTCAAACTCACACCAAATTTTGCATGCTCTTCACTAGTTTCATTTTCGTTTTGCTACTGTAACAACTCAGCCCCACTGGAAAGACACATCATTTGTTGAATGCCAAAATAGGCCACTACTCACGGCGTTCACAGCCTAGTCCTAGTCCGAGACAAATAGCTCTGCTCTGGGTCTGCTTTATAAATATTTTCTCATCAACCTGTTCAGATGTGTTATTACACACCTCTGAGCAGGTGGATCTTAAACCCAGACCTCCTGGCTGAGAGGTAAGGACACTGCCTTTGCACCACAAGAGCCTAGAGAATTGAACCCCTGTTGCCAACATATCAGGCAAGGATACTAACCACTATACTAATGGGAATGGTGGGTCTGCTTTATTTATTTTAATCAACCTATTCAGAGATGTTATTATACTCCTGTGGTGCAGGCGGGGCTTGAAACCATGTCTCCTGGTTCAGAGGTTGGGATACTACCACTGCACCACAAGAGCTCACTTGATTCCCAACAGAGATTAAGTCGTGTAACTTCATTAGAAAAGGATACAACAATTTGCAGATATGGAAACAATTATATTGAAAACCGTTGTAAATCACCTACTTCAAATTGACATTGTTTTGTTAAAGTGTTTAAATGGAGAGCTCGTTCTTTGGAGGCCATCTTTGAACAAACATTATTTAGTTAAATCGTCCCAACTTCAAATCCTGGTAGTGACTTTGGGCTAGTTGGGCTTTCATTTAGATTGCTGGCATGGTACAGAATATCAAGCAAGATTTAATTTTAAGCTGGCAAGAACTGCAGATGCTAGAGTCAGCCAGAACAGTGTGGAGCTGGAGGAACACAGCAGCTCAGGCAGCATCAGAGGAGCAGGAAAGTTAACGTTTCGGGTTGCATCCTTCCTGATGAAAGATTTAATTTTAATGTTTTTGATATTGTGCCTGGTGTTCTGAATAAAAGAGGTACGGAATATTTGTCATTACGTTTCATACTTCTGTCAGCAAAACACAACATTGTCATTCCAGCATAGATTAGGAACCTTGTCTTCTCATAACTTTCCAAGTAGGCAAGTTTATGTCAGTCACGCAACTTAACAGACCATCAAGGCAAGCAATGAACATGATTCCAAGTATTGAGAATTAATGTTCAAAACAAAAATTAAAGACCCTGGATTTGCTTGCTTTGATAGAAATGAGTTTTTGGAGGAATGTAACTTAATTTTTCAAGATAATGAAGACAGTTGCTGTTGGTGATCCAGAAATGCAGAATGTTGGATTGTGAGTGAATACATGAGTGACGATGCCCATAAATTGTTATTAACTAAGAAATGACTGACTTGTCTGACTTGGTCAGATTGGAGGGTTTGGTTTCTGGATTTAAGTCGAATTTGGACAGCATCATGAAAAGTAAACCAGTTTTGATAATATGCTCATGTTGGGAATGAACGAATTTCTGGTAAGGCAGGACTAACTGTTCACCACATATCTTGATTTAACTTTGTAGATGAGACCAGAATCCAGGTAAGAGTGAACCAGATTAGTACAGGACTGATGTGATGAATAGACCAGGCTGGTTAAGTATGGTAGGTTCTCTTTTCCAAAGGATTTCAGGAAGCTGGTTGGGTATTTACAACAATCCAGTGGAATCAGGACCAACTTGTAATATTCACATTAAAAATCATTGAATCCAATTTTTTAAACTGTCATACATGGTTTTGACCAGGTGTTCTCCAAATTGATTGTTCATTCCTTTTGTTCAAATATTCACTCACAGAACACCTTTTTGAGTGCATCATATTGGAAGGAGAGATGGTATCAAGTGACATTAACAATTGAACTGAAAGGCAATTTGAGATGATCATTAAACTTGCCAAACAAAATGTAAGGTATTTCCCAAAGTTGTGAACAGAAATAAATAGAAGGTTAACTTAAGTGCTAAATTTTAAAAAGCACCTGAACCGAAGGGGAAAGTTAGAGCATTGAAATGATTTTGGGAGGAAATTTTAAGGGGCAGCATGGTGGCTTAGTTGTTAGCACTGCTGCCTCACAGTGCCAGGGTCCTGGGTTCAATTCCAGCCTTGGGTGACTGTCTGTTTGGTGTTTGCACATTCTCCCTGTGTCTGCATGGGTTTCTTCCCACAGTCCAAAGATGTGCAGGTTAGGTAGTGCTAAATTGCCCCATAGGTGTGTTAGCCATGGGAAATGCAGGGTTACAGGGATAGGGTAGGAGGATAGATTTGGGAGGGATGCTCTTTGAAGGGTCAGTGTGGACTTCATAGGCCAAATGGCCTGTTTCCACACTGTAGGGATTCTACAATCTATGTGTGGACACAACTGCCTACAGGGAGGATTAAGTAAATTGATGGGAATGCACTAGAAACTGGATTCAAGTCAGAGAA